TTCCATTCTTCCAACAGGTGGTCGCGTAGTAGTTTATTTTGGTTCCACTTATCTCTCGCATTTCCGGGGGTCTGATGTGGGAGTAGTAGGGAAGCGATTCGGTGTAGGCCTGTTCCTTTGATATTTGCTTCTTTGTATGGGAGGAGCTCGATCAGGGATTCATTGTTGGGGTGGGTTGCCTCGGAGCAGAGTATTCTGGTTCCGTACTTTCTTGAGCGGTATGTCAGGAGGTGTTCTAAGGGGGGTAGGCCTGCTTCTCGGAGGAGTTTAGCTCTTTTGGTCCATCGTGGTAGGCCGGTGATGATCCGGGCCGCTTCATTATATAGTGGTTCGAGGGATCTTATAATGTGGTCTGCGCCAGTCCACCAAGCCTCGGATCCGTAGAGTAGGCTTGGGAGGAAGCCTTGTGTTATGATATGATGGATTGTTTTGACCGTTATGCCTGGCAAGCGGGCTGTGTATCGAATCTGGTGGAGGGCTTTAAGGCCTTTTGCGATCGCTGCTTCGATGTGGGGCCGGAAGGAGAGGGTCGGATCTATCCAGACTCCTACATATTTCAGCCTTTCTTTGGGGTGTATATTGATATTGCTAACTTTGACCGGAAGTCGTGGTTGTTGTGTGGATGATGTGGTGGGCCGGAAGAAGATCAAGTCGGATTTATCCGGGTCGTATTTAATTTGGAGTGGCTCAGCTTTTTTTTGTCTCTCTCTCATTCGTTCCTCCATTCTCTTGATTGTGAAGCCTGGTGTTTTGGATATTTGTACCAGCGCGTCGTCATCGATGTAAGTAGTGTCCATCTCTTTCGGGCTGCTTGTTGGGTCCAGGATTACTCCAGCATAGATCATAAATAGCACCGGGGACATGGGGCTACCTTGCGGCACTCCAGAATCATAGGGCTGTGGCTCTTCTAGCTCATGGTTGAATTGAAACTGTAGTTTTCTGCTGGTATTGAATTCCTTGCACCATTCTGTTAAGTAGGTAGGGAATTTTTGTTGTTGCATGATTTCCGCGAGGAGTAGGTGGTCAACGCAGTTAAATGCTCCTTGGATATCATTGGTGAGGATCGCTGGTCTGTCTCGCCGAGCGACTCCGGTACTGTTTTTCAGTAGTAGGTTTTGTTGTATTGGCGTTAAGGTTCTCAGCAGGGCGTCGATTGCCGAGATGGTTGGTCTTCCTCCAAATTGATTCGCTGAGAGTGTGCCTAGAATTTCTCCAGCGGTGCAGAGTCTTTGGGCCACTATCTTCTCCAGGATTTTGCTGAAACATTGTAGAAGGGAAATGGGCCGGTAGGCTTTTGCTTCGTGATAGTTTGCTTTACCGGGTTTCGGGATCGGGATACACTTAGCTATTTTCCATTCCGCTGGGTGTACGCCGTGCCGGAGCATGGCGGAGAACATGTCTTGGATTAGAGTTGTATTTGCTTTGACTATTGCTTTAATAAAGGTGTAAGGAATGCCATCCGGGCCGGTCGCCGAGTGCGCTGGACAGGAGTCGATTGCTTTATTAAGTTCTTCGGGGGTGACTATGTCGAAGGTGTTGCTAAGGTCAAAAGAAGGGGGTCTAATGTTTAGGGGGGGGTGGTCGGGGGACGTCCGTTTCGAGGGGAAAAGTTGGGCTCTTAGAGCTTGACACTTCCCCGCAAACGTTTCTTCACCTTGTATGGTTGGTATGATTGTGTCTCTTCTTCTTCCTACGTTTAGGATTCTCCAGACTTCACTACCTTTCGCCTCGTTCATCGTCTTTTCCCGCTGATCCGCTTTTGCTTTCCGGATCATGACTGTCCATTCTCTGCAAGCCTTCCGGTGTTCCTCCACGTGATTGGGTTTCCTTGTGTTCCTCGCCTTCCTTTCTGCTGCATTTACCCTTGCCTTCATTTGTTTCATTTCATCTGACCACCAGGAGTTGGCTCTTACCCCCTCCTTCGAGAGCGGTGTTACTATGCTGACTGTTGACCTGACCAGTTCTAGAAAGAAATCGACAGTCTGTTCCGTAAGTTCCTTGGTTTCCCATGCCTCTGCAGGGATGGAAATGTTTGACATGTGGTTTTCCAATAGCTTCCAGCCTGTTTGTCGCCACATTCGTCTTGGTACAAAAGGTGGTTTCTCCAGGTGTAAGTGAACGGAGGTTCTCCCATGGTCTGAGCCCGCTCCGTAGGGTTCAGTGCTCCATCGTAGGTTATGATCGAGTATTGGGCCTTTTACAAATGTAAGGTCGATGGTTGTCGGCCTTTTCCCTCTGTCTCTGGGGAAATGCGTGAAGACGCCTGGTTCGTTCAGGAGGGACAGTTTCTGTCGGGTTATCCATCGTTTTAGTCGTGCACCATTGACGCGGTCTGCTCGAATATTGTTTCTGTATTCGTGTGAATTTACTCCGTACCACATTTGATGGTGGCAGTTGAAGTCTCCCATTACTAGACAATTATCAAGGGTTTGGATTGTACTTGCTATTTGAGCGAAGGGGCCACTTCGGCCTGGGGAGTATATGTTTAGGATTTGGGTTTTCTTGTTCTGGATTTCTACCGTAATCGATACTATGAAATTATCGTATGTGTAGTGGTGTTTTGGTTTGAGGTTGGCATGTTTGCGGACGTATGTTGCGCATTTCGTATTGATATTGCTGGCTGTAAAAAGGTAAAAAAGATTTGATTCTGGTGGATATCCCTCTGTTGAGGTCCATGGTTCTTGTAATAGTAGGAAATAAATGCTCGAGTCTGTTTCTGCTTCTTCCACCGCCGCCTTGGTGATTAGTTCGCTCCGTGCACAATTAAGTTGGTGTGCGAGCGCAGTTGTTCGCAGCCTAGGCATTATTCGTCATGGGTTGGTCGTCTTCGGGAACGGGTGTGGCTCCGACCGGGGCGGTGGCTGGTACTTGGATTATTGAAATTGGCTCCTGGGCGGGTGCGGCAGGTGGGTCTTGGGCGGGTGGGGCGTTTTCCTTTCCTTTATTCAGGAATCGGCGTTTAACTCTTTCAGGGCATGCTGGGTCGGAGGCCTTATGGATTCCTTTACAGTTCAAACATCTGATTGGGGTGTGGGTGCATCTGTATCCTCCCTGGCATTGATTGCATGGGTGGAAGCTGGTGAGATGGTCTCCGGCACAATGACCGCATTTTCCATTGTTCTTACATTTCTCCTGGCGGTGGCCGTATTCGAGGCACTTTGCACACTGGGTATCCGGGAAGGTTGGGAGGAAGGCCTCGATATGGCAGCTTCGGTTGAAGAGAGATAGGAATTTAACTCCTAGTGTTTCCATTGTGATTTGTCCCGGGAGCGCGATGACCATAGATGAGTGGGTTTTCTCCATTCGAGTTTCTGCCCTGGATATCCAGCGGGGAACCTGGGCAAGTTGGAAGTTCTCTCCATAGTTGCTTCTGATTTCTGATGCTACTAGTTGTCCCGCCTCAATGCCCTCCCCGACCGTTGTGGGGATTCCATGGAGGAGAAACTTTGACCATTTGGAGTTTGCGCGGATGACAGCGACCGGTACCTGTAGGGTGAGGAGGGCCTCCTCAATTTCTTTGGCGTATTCCATTGCCTTTGTTGCAGGGGTAACGAATTTTGTTTCCAGGATGAAGTTGTCCTTAGGTGTTCTTCTTGCCGAAATGAAATGGCAGGACTCGTCTTGGATTCTTGCATTGACGAGGGTTCTGATCTCGGAGGGGTTAACGTCAGATGGGGCAGTAGTTTCCACGATGATCTCCCTGTTGATCTTGGTATACTCTGGTTTGAAGAGGGGATCCGCTTTTGGCTTTGCGGACTTCTTTTTCCTCTCGATGACCTGGAAGTTACCTTGGGCAGGACCGGGTGCCGAGGCCACGGCGGCCCAGGTGCCTGCCTTCCATCCACGGGGTGGGGCTTGTTGGGGGTGTGCGGGTGGGGGGGCCTGAGGAGCTGCCTGTGGCGCTGCTTGGGGAGCTGTTTGTGGGACCGCTGGAGGGGGCATTCTCTGTCCTTGCGGTTGCTGTGGTTTTCGCTGCTGTTGCTGTTGTTGCTGTTGATGCTGTTGTTGCGGTTGTTGCGGTTGCTGCGGTTGCTGCGGTTGTGGTTGTTTGTTGAGGAGCGCGTGGATCGCCGAATGCATATTGGTGATCATGTTTGTCTGCGCCTCGATCTGATGCTTCAGTGTATCCACTGTTCTCCGGAGAGTAGTCGTTTGCTCTTCGAGGATTTCAATCCTGTCGGAGGGTGGGCAGATCCGGCTGGTGGCATGTCTAATGGCCCAGGTGATGTAGTTCAGGTCCGTCTGGGTGTGGGTGTCCTGGGGGACAATGCTCGGGTAGAGGTAGTCAACTCTCGGCTGGTAGGGGTCATTGTAGTCGGATTCTGTTGCAAAGGTCGAGGAGAATTCCTGTTCCTGAGCTCCGGATGGGGTTGGGTCGGGAACCTGAGTGTTCCTGTTCTGCGAGGGGGCTGTCCCTTGTTGGGAAGACTGGGTGAAAAAGGACTGGAGCGAAGCTTGCTGCGACATGACTGAATGTCCCGTTCTTCTGGCGGCGTAGAGTGATGTTTCGGATAAGTTTCTTTTCCTTCCTTTCGGGAGGTCAAGGCTGGAGAATTCTTCGCTAGAAGCCAGTTTTCGTAGGTTTCTTTCGCTTGGAACAACAAAACGCGACCGTACGATCGGGGACGAAGTGGCTCAGCCTGGTATGGTATACCAGGGTAAACCGAGAGGAATAAAAATAAAGTGTTTTTGAAGCGAGGTTTGATATCAGGAAGTTTTGCGAGCCTTAGCGAGCAAGGAGAATACAGAGGTTGCGTAAAGAAAGAAGGAAAGAAAGAAAACAAACAAAAGCACGAAACAACGCCCCCTTATATATCCAACCATAGTCCGATAATGACTAATACTTCTGCGTAACAGAAACTAAAAGAACATAACAGAAATCCCCATTACAAATCCTAATACCACTATACAATACCTCCTCTTCTCGTTCCAATTTATCACCTAGCCGAAAACACATAGTTGCCGTTACACAAGTGCTCCTCACACTCTTTTCGATCCCAATGACCCACCAAGCCCAAATAGTCGCAATTCAAGAACCCCCCCTCCATAATGGGAAACCCCCCTCAGTACCGTCCTTTACACTGCTTTGCCCCTCGCCCGTCAGAGCAGAGGATAAAATATCCTCGTACATCTATCTTAATACCAACATCCTCGACAAGAATTCCTTCACTACCCTCCCATCCCACAGAGGAGATATCGTTTCCGTCAATCTCTTCTGCAAAACAAGCACAAACACCCACTTAACCGTTACGATAATCAGTCTATATAATAGACAGCTGGACAGCGCCACCCGGTCGCTAAGCCCCCCAAGTATCTTTAGTACATCCGATAACCCATGCCTAATCTTAGGAGACTTTAATATCCACTCCCCCTCCGCCGACCCTCTCCGCTCCCTCTCCCAACGAGAACTCCGCCTCTCACAGCCCTACTTTGACACAGCAACCCGCTTTGGGTTCCTACTTCTAAACACCCCAGGCATTCACACCAGACTATCCCCTGACCCCAATAAAAGGCACAGCGTGATAGACCTCGCCTTCATCAACCTCCAGGCCAACGCTCTAGTCAGGAAGTGGACCCCTCTATCAAACACGTCAGAATCCGATCATCGAATCATCGCCATCTCAATGTCACTCCCATCAGCAGACTTCACCCCATATCAAACCCCCAATTGGAAGCGAACAAACTGGCCCCCCCTCATCGACGAACTCAAACAAACCACAATCCCCCCATGCCCCATGCCCAACATGGTAGACGATTGGTTTGAAAATCTCTTACCACTATTACAGACCTCATAAAGTCACACACGCCAATAAAAACGATCTCTCAGTGGTCAAAACCGTGGTGGACAGGCAACCTCACCCAACTCCGAACCATCTTCCACACAATCCACAGAGCATACAGGAAAGGCAGAGTGCCCCCTTTCGAAATGAAAGCCGCCAAAAATGCCTACTTCAATGCAATAAAACAAGCAAAGCAAGAGCACTGGAACTCATTCGTTTCCAACGCCAGCTCCCAGGACCTCTGGAGACTGAAGAAAATGGCATCAAAGACGGAAGACCGTGTCCCCTCACTACCAAACTCACCCACACCCACCCTCCTCAATAAGAACCTAATCAACGCCTTCTTCCCGCCTAGAACAGAAGCACCATCACCACCCCCCATCAACTACCAAGACGTGACACCCATAACCCCTGAGGAAGTCCAAAACGTCTTGAAAACAACCTCCAATCTCTCAGCACCAGGCCCAGATACAATCCCATACAGTGTCTGGAAAAAAATCCATAAGGCAAACCCCCTCATCATAACCTCCCTCCTCAACCCACTCCTCGCGCACGGATACCACCCCCTCTCCCTAAAAAGAGCCAACGGTGTTATACTTGCAAAGCCAGGAAAGACCGACTACTCCTCCCCCGCGGCATACAGAATTATCGTCCTCCTACAAACCTTCTCCAAAATTCTGGAAAAGATCGTCACACTTCGCCTTGCAAAGATCGCAACCGCCACAGGCCTTATCCACCCCCACCAATGCGGTTCCATCGCCGGCCTCTCTACAGCCGACGCCGTTACTACGCTAATACATGAGACGAAAGCAATGCAGCTAGCCAAGCTGAAAGTCTCCACCCTCTTCCTCGATATCAAAGGGGGTTTCGACCATGTTCTCAAACAAACCCTTGCCCCCCTCCTTGCCGCCAAATCAGTCCCCCCATACATAATCAACTGAACCCTATCCTTCCTCTCCGACAGGCACATCACCCTCCTGTTTAAAGGCTCCCCAAAAATCCCCACTCCAGTTCAAGTAGGGGTTCCCCAAGGCTCTCCCATCTCCCCCCTTCTCTTCGTCATCTAAGTCAATTTCCTCCACAACTACGACCCATCCCCCGGACTCACCCTCTCATACGTGGACGACTTTTCCATCACAGTCGGCTCAACATCATACCAGCAAAACATTACCATCCTTCAGAGTCACTATCAAAAGCTAACAGCCCTGGCCACGCCTCAAAATGTTTCCTTCTCAGTAGCAAAAACAGAACTAATGCACTGGCGAACACCAAGAGACAAATCCCCTACCTGCCATACCCCAATCCTCCTAGACGGACAAGAATTCCAACCCGGGCATCAAGTCAGATGGGTGGGCTTCTGGCTCTCCCCCTCCTTTAACCCCAATACCCACTTCCTAAGGAGACTAGCCTCAGCAAGGTCGGCCTTCGGCCTTATCCAACGCTTCTCATCCGCAGGCAAAGGCCTCTCCTCCCGCAACTGTCAAAAGGCCGCCACCCTAGCGATAAGACCCATGCTCACCTATGGCGCAAACGTCCTCACCCCAACGTCCGCCCTCAAGCCAATGACGACCTTCTGGAACTCCGTACTCCGGTGGGCCACAGGGTGCTTCAGGGCTACCAACCGCAAAGTGCTATGAGCGGAGGCGAACACGCCCCCCCTGGACCTCTATCTACACTACCTCAAATGCAAATACGCCATTCGAATCCTACAAGCATCCCCCCTCGGCAACCCTGTAACCGGCAGGACGAGCCCCTCCTTCCCAACGATCTCCAACCATAGAACATTCTCACATACCCAACTCCTCAAAGGGCTCCCCAACCCCCCCAAGAAATGGAACTCAACCGCGCTCAAAGGCGTCGCACACCTACCCATCGAATTCCTCGGATCCCTCCTTCTCCCCTTGATAAGAGAAGGCGTTGCCCCGGAACAAATGAATCGCTATGCAAAAACCCAACTACTCGTCAACTGGCAACTGTACTATGCACCCCCAGAATACTACGCCCACCCTCTCTCCACCACCCCGCTTCCCTTCAACGACCTCCACAAATTCGTTGCAACCCGAATCCATCAATTCAGATCAGGGAAGAGCTATCTCCGAGCCCAAAAGACCTGGATGACCGCCCACACCCCCTCTATATGCGAACGATGTAATGCAGCGGAAGAAACACCAGAGCATGTCATCCTCCACTGCCCCAAACTCGCCCCAAATAGACATGGTCCACTACGAACCATCATATCGCTGAACGATATCTGGAACGACCAGACCCTTACCACAGCACTAGGCACCTTCATAGTTTCCACAAGAATGGGATATCCCAGAAGCGCCCCCCCATCACCCCTCGCTACAGGCTCCACAACTATATCGACCCTCACATCGATATCCACTATATCCTCACCCCTCACACCAACGGGATCAATACCCGCGATCTATGCTTCCTAGAAAAGACCTACATTAGGCACAAGGGCTCGGCCCAAAATATTTCCTTTGTTCTGCGATTACTTTCTTATGTATATTTCTTTTGTGTTTAAATTTTGGGTTTTTTTTTAGGGGACGGGTTTGGGATAGTTCGGGGATAGGTTTCTTTACGCCATAGTTTATACTGCATGCGACCATTCTGTACCTAGAAACTAGAAATGAAATGACTTCACACACACACAGAGGTGGTCGGTGCATAAATGCATACAGGCATCCCGGATAAATTATTAACGTCGGCCCATGCTGGCTAGCCTGGCTACTCCACGACCTTGCATGCACTTTTTCTAATCTGTGACTCGATTATATTACGAAACTCGTGAACCAGGTCGTGCATGCTAGCTATATTTCGGGCATCGAGCGCTCTCTGCCTTGTTGGTTTGTCAGTTGCGTTTTTGTTTTCCATATCCATATCGATACTATGCTCCGTTATCGAAAGGTTGGATATGAAGTTATAGGTAGGTAGACGTCTTGGAGTGAACCCTGATTCCAGTATAGATTTTGGTCCTACGTGAACCACGGAAGAAAAGCTCAAGCTCAGATCATAAAAGCAAAATCGGCTCGAGTGATGTATTATGATGATCAGAATAGAAGAAGAAAAGAAAAGGAAATAGCCGAACCGCTGTGATCTGTCCTTTGACCCTTTGACCATTTGTGTCCTCGTATTACCCGCGCGTATACGTAACTGAATCAGTCAACCTGCCTGGGCCACGCCGGGTCATCAATTATCGAAATTGACAGCGGATAACAACGAAGTAACGATACGTGGTCAACAACAGCACACAATGGTATGTAAGGAGAGAAACGGTCGCTTTTGACTTGTTTCATTCTCAGTACGTACTTGGTTTGAACTGCCTTCAATTTCAAACAAGCAAACATGCTCCATGTTTTTGGAATAACATGCAGCGCAGTCCGCTCGACTGCTCTCTGAGGTTTCTCAGCACGTCCTCCACGTCGAAGGTTAAGCGCCACACAGGTAAGCTTTCCTTATTCCGTGTCATCTTATCATACTCATCAGGCTGCCTAGGCAAACAACATCGACACCGAAACCTGCCACCATATCCTGCCATCCCGGGTAGTGTTCTCCATGAGACGAAACGGCTTGAAGTGCCTCTTGTCTCGAGACTATCGTCTCAAATAGCACCAAAGCACCTAGTCTCGAGACCGGCTTGAGATCTGCCAGAATACCAGTGTCGTAGGTGTTAGTGTCAGAATCGTTAGTAGTCGATGGCACCTAAACTTCAACCGTTTATTACACATTTATCAGATGGCACTTCAACAACTGGGTCAAGAAATGTTAATTGCGGGCAGCCATTGCGGTGGTGGATGTTTTTTAACAATTGCATTGTTAAACGCTTTATTATGTAGTTTGGACGTTGTTCCAAGCTATCTGTACTTTGTATTAGAGGTGGTTTGGCCTCTAAATTGTAACTATAGAGAGAGAGCGAAAGCTCTCTCTCTCCTTTGTTTCTACTCATCAGCTCATTTAATAAATTCTCTACGTTCTCGGTTCTTCACTTTGCTTCACAAAGATCATCTGAAAACAAGAAACAGGGGACATCTGAACAACAATATAATACTGAGTGATATCAGTGTACGAAGCTCTTTGCTGCGTCTTCTCGGAAATGTTTCGGCGTAGAAGATGTCTTCCGAGTGATACTCTATGATCAAAATACATATGTCGACAATCTTGCCGCAACATTACACTTGTGCTGGGTGGGCTTGCTTTATGTCTGGACTTTAGCTCCTCATAATAGATCTGAACACCTCCTAAAACCTCACGCTCAGCGCATCAAGTTCTCTTCCTCTACATATGCATATGTATATTTCCTCCACCCGGCCCACTCCCCTCCGTCTATCCATGACATACCTGCCATTCGCCCCTCGCCAGACCCGGCGCAGAAGCACTAAACTCCACACTCACCCCCCAAGCCCGCCTCGCGGCCAGGGCGTTGGCTGTCGCTATCAACCGGTCCAGACCAGCCGCCACGAGCTGCCCAGTACATACCCCCGCGCGCGCCCGACCGCCCGGCTGGTGGATAGCGCACGAATACGAGTACGAGTACGGGCACGGGCACGGGCCGTGATAATGCCGAGTGACACCTCATGATTCCCGGGCCCGGGGGAGTCGAACCCGGATATCGATCCTTGGTCTGTTCCCGGTCTGTGCTTATACCTCGTAGCTAGGTTAGAAATTCACAGCGCAGTGGATACGGAGGAGGTGGTGGAAGCACTACTCGAGTAACTAGTCGAGGAATTACCGTGGCGGGGGTGTAGTCACTTTTGCACCGCCGGGCTCGCAGTTTTGTGTGTTGTATACGTGCTGGGCCACCACCGATCCTGGAACCAGACGAAATGATAATAATCTACGCTCGTACTCGTAGTAGAGTACTCAAGTGCTGGGACATGCCTGAGACATCGAGACTTCTGTAGAGTGCGTACCGTCGCTCCAGAATCCAGACTAGCACAGGCCGCGGCCGATGCCTCTTCTGGCCAGACGCGGTACTAATCCGGGATGCGGTACTAATTCTTGGCATGTGCGGGTGGGTTGTGGGCGCGGGGTAGGAAAGCCGGTTTCGTATTCGCTGATCGGGGTTTGGGGTGCACTGTATTCGGGAGATGAGTGTAGCACTCTCCGGAGAAATGTGGAGGAGGCTATACATGTAGATACCCGTCATGTCTCGTCATGTCTCTGGACGGTTTTCGTTTGCGGAATTGTCTTGTAGGAGGAAGGCACTCTTGTGTGCAAGGCACGCAGATGTGCATATGTCGACTATCCGTGAGAACTGTACTGCGTTCGCCAGTTAGAAGAGACAGATACATGTATACCAGGCTAGCCGTATATCTTCTCGGCCAGGGGACTCTTCCCTAGGCCTAACATCAACTCAGTCAACTCTGACTTTCTTCTGCAAAGGAACCCTTCTTTGTCCACGTCATATCACACGAAGGACAATCTCCTCTGCCTGCCTTTGGATAAATCTAAAGTTCCCCCCTTCTCCAGATCTTTCCTCCGACAGAAAGCCCAACCCGTGCAGGCAAGACCGAACTCGGCCCCGACACCACCACGCACATGCACCGTCGTCCCGAGGAGATATATCCAGGGTTAGGGTTGTTGTTCACCACCCCTACCAAAAAGCATCCCTTACCGGGCAGCAACCGGGAGATGAATGATCAATCTACACGGCTGTTTGGGATTGAGCGGCCAAATATCACGGTCGAGTAATCATCCATCATCTATGTATCATGCAGCGTGACCAGGGGAAGTTTAATTACAGGTGCACGTTACCGGCACGGCCCAATATACTTTGCTCTCCTCTACTATTATGCACGCGGGTGTATCGTGATGAGGGGGAGCAGACGAGAAGCAAGTCGTCGGCTAGCTAGGAAAGTTAGTTAGTTCGGCTTTGCTCTGTGGAGAGACAGTCCAGAACCTGTCTGCCATCCCATCGCCATCCCATCCTTTCCCCATCCCGAGAGTCAAACCTGTCCATCATGATCCATCAACCCCGCACTCTATGCCGCCAAGACACTGACCCGACCGGAGCAAACAAGCTTTAAACTGAAAGCGCCCGAAACCAGAGACCGGCGATATCGAAGGGAGCATTCTTCATTGGCTCTGGGCTGGAGTCATAGAGCACCCGGTACTCTACTCTAGCAGAGTGAGTGGTGCACAAGACACGCGCGCGCCGCGTGAGCCTGCACTGCTTAAGTTTGGGTGGTATTAAACATGTCTCCCGCCTGGTACCGAGTGTGCGCGAGACATGGAATGATGTCTCTTTGATCATTACCGCCCTCTCACCTCCCCCACTAGTAACAAACCGTTGAAGACAGTCAAGCAAGCGGAAGGCCGTGGTGTGAGCGATTTTACATACACACCTCTGCTACAGACCTACGTACCGCTACGTATCCCAGAATCTAGATTCTCTGGCGCAAAAAAAAAAAAAAACCCAAGTTTCCATCTCACCCACGCGGCCGGCCAGCCAGCCCAACCCGTTGAATCGACCCACCGCAAGCCGCCACGATCTGATCAGAATACCAGACGAACTGCTACGGCTCTATGTTGCCTCAGAATCGCCACCACCACCACCACCACCACCACCACCACCGACCAACCCGCCGGGAAAAATACCTCCCCAAGGAACTGGAAACTGGGTTTTCGACCACACGCGGTGGCATAGAGCATCTACCTACATACATTCTCTACCAACCAGAGACAGAGACATGTAGAAAGGGCTTCTAGACTTGTCGATGTGGATGTGGGGAAGAACTGTCTTTGATACCTGTCATATCGCTTGGAAGTGCTTCCGTGCGTCCGTCCGAATACACTCTAGGGTATCTGGCGGGGGTTCTCTTTGCGACTTCCCCGGCTGGGCCCCAGGAACTGGGCTTGTGTGGATGTGGATGTGGAGGTACATAGAGCCACACACCGGAAGTCTACATGCAGATGGTGGAGGAGGCACTGCGGCGGCGGCGCTGCTGGCCAAAGTACCTAGAGTACATGGAGTTCGAAGCCACCACCATCTTCCGCTGTGAACACCGACAATCGTGCCCTAATCGTCAGGAAACCGGACGAAAGCTTATTCCTACTCAGCTGGTGCGCGTGCGTGTGTACTAGTATTTCGCTGACGTTTTTGAACTGGGCCATTATTGCATACACCCAAAATCATGAGCTTGGCGTATTTTTGTATGGCATGCAATATCAGTCGCGTCCACAAACGTCAGAGAAATACGAGTACTGTGGTCATCGGTGAGGTAGGTATTGGGTTTTACATGCCTACCTACCCTATGTGCTCGCGAGAATGCGGGGTCTGTCCCTAGTACCTAGGGTAACTACTCTAGAGTACAGGGATGGGCGAGGAGAGTATTTGGAAGATCTCTAGGTAGATACATGTAAGTAAGATGGGGGTCTGGATTGCGCTACCGCCGTGGGGGCGGGGAAGATAGATAGTGCGAATGAGGGTGTTGTATTATAAGCGCGCGGGTTTTCATACTGCGCTTAATTGTGTGATAAGCGCGCAAAGAGTGGAAACCACCCTGGAATTAAATTTAAATACATACTCCAAGTATGATGCGATGCATGCTATCGCGCAAATTGTAGAGTATGTGGCCCCTGGGATAGAAACATTTTCTTCCCGGTTTTTTTTCCAGAATTGAAGGTTTGGCAACAAGGTTTTTTTTCCCTTCCGTTCATTTCCGCGATGCTACTCTGCACATGCTAGAGTAGGTAGATGAGAGCTGCTACTGACCAGCCTACCACTGTACCTAAAATAAAAAGCGCTCGCGTCTGCAGTAGCATAAACAATCGGATGGTGTGGTGGTGGTCGTGATGCAGCACACCTTATCTGGCGCGGGAAGGGGAAGGCAGATCTTGATCCTTTTTTTCCTTCGCGTCGTTCGTCGAGGCGGGGTTTTTTTTCTCGCGGGGTGTAGGTGGCTAGCGCTAGCCTACTCAGTTAAGGTCAAGTTGCTGTTTGTTTCAGCGCTATCGTGGCGTTGTCCGAGGGATGTTCCGTTCGATTGGGCTGGTTGGGCTGGGCTGGGCGTGCGTTGGGCTGCATGGCAGAGGATGTATCGGGGGGGCGCGCGATGGGAGAGGTTTTGGAGGGTTATTCTAGGTGTCTGTCTACCTAGTATCTATCTACAAGGGGGTGTACTGCTCTAGATAGAGCACTCTAGAGTTCCGAGAGGGTAGAGATAGAGATAGATGCGACATTCAGCGAGATAACGAACAGAGCGTGGTTATGCTCTACTTCTACATACATGTAGGTACTCTGCTAGTAGGTAGAAAAGACGAACCATCCAGAGATGAGGATCGAATCTACAGACACTCACCACCACCTCACCCCGGAGGCCCGACCCGTCGCTGTGGGCACGGATTTCCGCAAGCGGCAGTCGACGCGCCCGAAACGGGCTAGGGGAACGCGTAAATAACCTTAACCGTGGGGCCAAGCAAGGGAAATTTGGAGCAGGGGTGGACGACCGTGACGGGGGTTTAGTAGAGTAGAGTGGACGTCCGAAGGGGATAAGGGCGTGTCTTTCGACGACGCCCACCCCTTTTGAGAGCGATTGGGTGGTGGTCAAAAGGGAACCGTGTGCAGCAGCAGCAGCAGGTCTGGCTGAAGAGGTGGATGGATGGGAGGATGGGACGAGGAAGAAGGTGAGGATGATGGTGCAGTGGACGAATGGGTGTGAGGTCGGGCTTCTTTCCCCTGGGCGGCGGCGGAGGTGTGCATGATATCTGCTGCTGCCGTTTATTTTTACTTTTTGATTTTTTTTTTTTTTTTTTTTTCTCCTTCCTCCTTTGCAGCATCATCGGCCCTTGGGAAAGGTGGAATTGGGGCCGGTGGGCGTGGTGGGTGAGTGCATGTTCGAGGTATGTAGGGACTATTTGTGCCCTTCTTATTTCTGGATGTCTGTTCCCTTTTTTTCCCTTGGATGATGTTGACGACGTCGCTCCTCCTACGTACCTACAGCACACGCGCCATAGGGTTTCTGGTAGCGCCAGCTTCTCCAGTTCATTTTAGTTTTAGACGAACCCAGGCTTTTGTTAACGTAGTCAGTTGTAGTGAAATTGTCTAGAGATTATCATACGCAGCATCCGCGGTGTGCGTAACTGCAGGCAGTCCGTGCAGTGCATCAGGTGGAATAAGGAGTCTAGCTACTCGCAGCCTCTCCCACCCCCTCCAATCCCAGTCACTCTCTCTGTCCCAGCAGTTTTAGACTCCCAGCAATACCCTTGGTTACATACCTTCTGCAGCACTAGTAGTAGTAGTAGTAGTAGTAGGTCGACAGTCAGTCTCCCCTTCTGCTGCTCCTCCTCCTCCTCGACCCTTCAGTTCCAACCCTCCCTCATAATCTTCGAGTGTCCCTTCAACCTTCATAATCACCATCATCCCATCTGCGTGGACCCGTCTTTTTGTTCGGCTTCGCGCGTGTTTGTTGTGTCCCAATTGGGTGTGCACGGAGAGAAAAGAAGGTCATTCTTTTACTGTACTGGTACTGGATTGGATCTGTATGTATATCATTCCCCTTGGAATTTAAAATGGCTACTCTACATATGTACGCTGTGTCCCCTTCCCTACAAACCTCTCCCTCCCCTCCCCCCATCCCATTGTATCTGCCGAATCCCCCACACACCTCACATACTCCCACATACATACTCTGGTTCCCCCTGCTGACGGCTTTGCTCATGAACAAAAAGCCCACCACGGTTTAACGACTGTCACCCTCCTACCACCCCCCCGGTCCGATACTACATACGTAAAGCTTCTCGAAATAAGACCACATTCCACCCACCATCCACCACAACCACCACCACCACCGCAAGAAAGGGTTCCCTATTGGCCGTGAAACAATAAACACACAATGGTAGAGGTGCAATCCAACAATCCCTACAGACGCAGCATGTCCCCGCAGCTCCCCCCTCCCGCAGCTGGCCAGCAGCAGCAGCAGCAGCACCACCACCAACAATACCAGCTCTCCTCCTACAGCTCCACCGACAGCGGTAGCAGCTCACCATCGCCTCCTCCGCACTCACACTCACACTCGCCCTCGCCGCCCCCGCTCGTCAAGTTCCCCTCGTCGACCACGACCATCGCCGAGGAGCCCGAGAACGAGCTCGACGCCCAGAGCCATGTGCGCTCGCCCACGCCAACCATTGTGGTCAAGGCCTGCGAGGACAAGGAGCGGGACGGGGCGGACAAGGTCTTCATCACGATCCACCCAACGGGCTCGACGAATAGCGTGCCGCAGCATAAGGAGTATCCGATGCCGGTAAGGACAAACACGCACCCGCATCCACGGCAGTCGATGAATGAGGCGTGCTCGGTGTGGCCCGCGAGGAGGTTTATGCAGAAGCAGGTGATGCAGAAGAAGACGAAGTGGATCATCATCAAGGTGCTTTGCGCGCTCATTTTTGTGGTGGGCGCCGTGGCGATTGGGTTTGGCATCTCGAAGGCCGCGGGGAGCAAGTAATGTGATACCTATGGAGTTTTTCTTTTTTTCTTTCTTTGCTTTCTTGTTGTTTTATAGGTGATGGCATGGCGGTGGTGTATGTCTGTCTATAAGTATACTTTTACGCGTTGTGTATGGGTGACACCTTCTTTTTTCTACTTTTTCTTTCTTTCGTTAGTTTTCTTTCTTCTTTTAGAGGCAGGGGAAAAAATTATGGGGGGAGCATGGATTCCTGACTGTCCTTTTTATCTGCTTTCTTTGAGTAATGGCATTTTGTACATTTTTTTCTTCTTTCCCTTCTAACCACACCACACACAGGGCTATTTCTTAAGGTATGTTTGTGCGTGGTTTCTAACATTACAGTTTTATATCCCTTCTTCTTGGTCATGTTCTGGGTTTTCCTTCTTTTTTTCTTTTTTGTCGATGGTTTTTTTGTACGGGGTGGGTGAAAGGCCTAAGGAAGAGGGGGTAGTGGAAAAGCTGTTTACTTCATTTTTCTTTTTCTCTTCTTCTCTTGCTTTAGTACTCATATCTCTTACTGTTGGAGGACGGCGTTTATTTCTTCTTTTTTTTTCTCATTCCGAAGGTGTCTTGACTTGTTACAACTAACTAACTACATCGATGGGCGGTTTCTCTCTCTATCTCTCTCCTTTTTTTCTTTTTATTATCATCTCACCTTCTCTCCACCTCAGGAAGTGGTTGGGTGGGTGGGTGGTGGGTGTATTATGTTTGATAACCAAAGTACATTACCGTACTATACGAGTTGCGTTGCGACACGACACGCGTACGTCGGGGGAGCTAGCTGTGATTCGCTGTGATGTGTGCCAGACCGGGTCCCTGGGTTTGATGTGGATGTGTAGGAGATCATGTATGTATGTGTCCTGTCTGTCTGCCTGCCAGACGCAATGCAGGGCGATTTATGAAAAAAATTATTTCCGGGACCAGATCAGCCAGGGGGTGGCCAGGGCGCGGTTGGGGGGGGGGGGGGGGGGGTTGGTATCGACGATCAAGATGTACTGTGCATATACAGCAGAAGTGCCTACGTCCCCTCGGAACATGTCAGGAACCAATTTTTTTTATTTTTATTTTGTTCTTGGCCGATCTGATTGATTACATGTATCGCCTCGTCTCGATCCCAAGTAGCTAGCTAGCTAGCTAAGCCATTGAAGAATGAAAAAAAAAAAAAAAGAGATTCAAAGCACAGAGTTCCCCCCAGTGGTCTCAGCCCTCTGGTCTTTTTTACGTTCGCCATTTCCCCCACACTCTCGCCCAGCTGTCCACCTAGGTAGTTAGCTTTACAGATCGTCTGTTCACGGGCGATGTAATTTAGATAACCCTATATCTGCCACCGCACGCGCCTACTCTGTGACGTATGTACGTGCACATCATCATCATCATCATCATCATCCGAGCCCTCCACCCACTCACCACTCACGCAGTAGTAATTTCACGGCCGAGTGACACGGCGTGATTCTTGCCGCACGGTTTTTACGCGCCCGTAGTTGGCTGGGTTTGGGCTGCACGCCAATCTCCCGGTTTCCTTCTACACTTCTTTTGGAAAGAATTGCTTTATGGGAGCGGCGGCTGGATGGAAAATTATTTATCCGCAGCTATATATATGTGCAGTTCCGATTGTTCCTAGCAAGGGTAGTAGAGATAGAGCCTCCACCAGCTCGGATTGGACGGTTTGGTCGGGGTAAAAGCTTAGAGCGTAGATTTGGTGTTGATCTTCATCTTGATCTTCCTGGGCCGTCCGGTCCGAGTTGGGGGTTGATCTATTGTCGATTTCCGCCTGATTGCGCCGTTTACTATTCTGGATTATAACGGCGAAATACACCTCCCCCCCCCCCCCCCCCAAAGGTGGATAATCTTATCCGTTCACTAACGAATCAGGTTTTGGTATCCTCTTTTTCCTGTGTTTTCCTTCTCTTGATTTCCCCTCTTATTGGCGCACATTCCCGTCAATTTATTCTCAACCCCCTCTGCCCAGACATTCAAAGTGCTGCCGTCCCCTCCACCCCCAAAAAACTTCTGCCTTCTTTTCCTTTCCCTTAGGTCTTATTTATCTCCATCCTTTTTTCCTTCTCCCTTCTGTCATATCCGCTCTGGCAATCCTCCTCCACCTCCTCGTCCATATTGTATCTGTCCACTGTTCGTCATTGTTGCGTCTTCCTCTCCCTGTACCCTTCGCGGCATGCATGTCAGTCTCTCTCGTGGATGAATGTATAGTCCTAAACCTTTTCCTCATTATCCGTGTGTTTTCTTTAGTTCTCGCACGGCCGGCTTCCAGAGGGTTATTATAGCTAGGTTGCTAGGTTGGTATCAGTTCCCGTCTCGGAGAAGATATAGAGCCGGTGTGGTTTCATGGATCGACTTCATGATGCTAAAGGGAAACAAGAGAATACCATAAGGAAGGAGGGGGGTATCAAAGGAGTTCTTAGAGAGAAGTGACGGTGGGGATAACTGGAGCGAAACAAATATTATATATCGTCCCGCTGTATGTCGATATTCGATCCTAGAATGTATATTGGGGGGAGTAAAGGTTCTTTTGATGGTTGATAATGCATCAAAGGAGCGAAAAAGCCAGATTGTCGAATATCCCACAGGGAAGAATTTGTACGACATGAAGTACATCATGCTTGTAGTAACCTGTAATCCGAGCACTGGTGCTCTTGGTCCTTGGGTAGCATAGCTTTAAACATCAAGTAGCTAAAACTGGGGGATGAGGAGGGAGGAGGAGATCGGGGTAGTAGCAGAATGTCTCAATAAATGGAGGAGGAGGAGGAGGAGGAGGAGGAGGGAAAAAGACGTTGAGTCACCGTTAAGTATGATTTGAAATCCGGGCATCCAGCGGGGAACCCTATTGTCCATAAGTAGCCCATTTTTTCTCGGATCACTCGGAACAGTGGCATCCGTCCAACCCCAACCAACCCCTGCAGATTAACCAATTCTCACTCGCCGACCCCGCCCCACCAATGCCGTATTCAACGCAACATTCCTTTCCCTTTCTTTTTATGGGGGCCAAGTGGCACGTTTTGATCTCCATGGAATTTATGCTTACACATGGTAGAGTACCTGTAGGTATCTTTAACTTCACTTCACAGGCGGGAGGAGTGAAAAGTGGGTTTTTTTTTATTTCGGAGTGGGTAGGGCCGGAACTAGTGTGATCCGGGCCGCGGGTTGGTGGGGGTGCCAAGCCATAGCCCTACAGATTCATAGACTGTCACTCGGGGTTGGTGATCAGCCGAAAGCTTCAAGCACAGCTTCCGAGCCGGGCTTATATCAGCACGACTTTGAAGAACCTGGGGAATCTAAATATCCTCCGGTATCGATCTTGACATATGTAGGGGGATTCCTTTAGTTGGTTCCTTAATCACCATGTCTCTCAATATATCTCAGGCGAAGGTTGATCAATTCTGCTTTGAGAAACCGATGTATGATCGAGCTGGGTTATTCTCGTGTCTGAGCGTAAGTCTAGATATCGACTACGACGCATGTAGTTTCTAAACCGCCTGAAGAGCTTATCTTCTTATCAACTGCCCTTCTTCTATCAGTTCCATTTCGGGCTGAAAATATTTTGTTCTAGCTAAGATACACAGCTACAGGTTTAAGGCTGTTGTCAATACGTATACACCAAAAATCAGTCTCGCTTTCGCCACCTTTTAAACTTCACAGATTATCATTTTTCGCTGATATTATTTATGCGGATGCGCCTAACGAACCCCGTAACTTGGTCAACACAATTTTAGTAAGCACCCACAGTAGTTAAACGATCGCTGGCGTCGATTCATAGGATTCATGATTCAACTGGATGCAAGTATATATAATAAATCTTGTATAGACGACTAGTACCACTCGTCCGGCGTCAATAAATGAAGCTATCCGCTGACAGGCCTAGCACGCACTTTAGCCTTTCCGTCCGACCGGCATACTTGCCGAGAACTGGCACTAGTACTTAACTTCACCTTGCAAAATCTTGAGGTAGATGAAGGTATTGTCAAACATCATGATCCGCCTTCTCACATCATGGGTTTCTATCCAGCATGATCTCTCCCTACATCTAGTTAGGCCTAGAGAAGCATACATCGATGAAGTGGTAAAGTGAGAAGGGGTTGTGGTTGGTCGGTGAGAAATGAAGGCTCCCTAGTTAGAGCCCACCTGCGGATCAAACTATCAAGTCAACGCTCTTCAACCGCACGAAAACCTAACACATCGTCTTCATGTCAACACATCACAGTTCATCCAATCAATTACACACCTCACCACCCTCCAGACCATACCCCCCGAACAATAGTTGGAATCTTCGTCTCTACACAATCCAGCTGCGAGTAGCACGCACGTACTCGTGATATATGCCTCATGGATAATCCTATCTTGATCCCGCCGCAGACTCCAGTTATTGAGTTTCTGGCACATATGACCGATTCTCGAACAAACTGCCCGACCAGCGGGCAAGTTGATCCAGGGTTCGTAAAGGGCTGGGCGTGCTCGAAACGGCGTCACGGATAACAGCTTGGATAATAATTCTTGGACAAAGTTCTACTCGCTGCAAGGATCTTTTTTTTATTGACATGTCTAGAATCAATCATAAATCATGGAATACAATAGCTATATCCGTCATTCAATCATACCGTCCTCGAGTTCTCGCCGGCATTCTCTAACTGCTCCTCCCTATCTTCTCTAGCCTCTACGATTCCTCTCTCTGTTTCTGTCATCTTATACCTCCACTTCGCTAGCAAGATCGGCATCAGAGCCGCCAGAACCGTACCGGCTCCCAGGAAACTTGCTGTGCATCCAAAGCCTACTGAATAGCTCGGTGCATTCCATGACGGCCAGATGCGGGATCCATATACCGATGAGAAGTTACCGCAGGCGTTGACGATTGCGAGGACGACTGCTCGTTTTTCGGCCGGGAGCTCAACGGTATTGGAAGTCCAGGCAAGAAGCAGAGGGAGAGCAGACCAGATGCCAGAGGCTGTGAAACAGATCATGACGTAGCGGACAGTATTGGAAGGGATTGT